ATTTTCAGTGTATGCTCAATACCAGCCATTTTGAATGTGTTACTTTATCAACTTATTTTTTCCCCTCTCTCTTTAGCAAGAGCTTGTAAAAATTAGGTTTTATATTTAATGAGCTAAAAAAAAAATTTGATTTTCATTGGTTAAGTTTGTTTTTTTTGCTTTTTTATATAGTTGTAAGGAACTGGAATAAAACAAAAACTTCGTGCAAAGCTTCGTTTCCATCTGGAGACCACTTCACATTTCTCCAAAATTCATTATTTCATGAAATATTCTTTGTGAGAATAAACAATGATGGAAACATGTTTTTTTTTCTTCTTTTTTTACATAAAATAGTGAAATAAATAAAAACCAATAGTGAAATAAATAAAAGCAGTTGCAAACAACTGTCTAAATCAATTTTTTTTTAAATCTAGATTTTAGTTTTTGACAAAAAAAAAAAATTACATTCAAGCAATCAAATTCAATACGTGAATTACCAACAAGAATGTTTTTTAAAGAGCTCGAGAAAAAAATTTAAATTAATGAGGCGAATTTTACATTTATTTGAATTAATGTGANTCATTTGAATCTAATTTGAATTAATGTGACTTAAAAAATAATATTCTTTAATTAATGCAAACTAATTAAGTTAATTAACTATGATACATAAATGCTATGATTAATTATAAATTAAAAAAAAAGGAGTTTAATCCCCGGGTAACATTCACACTTCATTCACACACTACACACATACATGCCCTTTCATTCAGACTTGCGGGTTTTTAGGCCACGCCAGAGGTCTAGATTCAGTCGACTTACGGGCCTTTCGGCCGCGCCAGAGGCGCCATTCATTCAATGTCAGGTCCTCCCCAAAAAAATAATAAAGTCTGCCCACGACTTATAAGATCTAGTTTTAATTGTTTAATTTAAGTAATTAAAATGTAAGTAATTTANGCAGAGGCGCCATTCAAGCAATGACAGGCACTCCCCCAAAAAATAATAAAGTCCGCCCACGATTTATAAGATCAAGTTTTCATTGTTTAATTTAAGTAATTAAAATGTAAGTAATTTATGAAAGTTTATTATGATACTTGATTATTATATTGTGATTAAGTTATGAATAAAGATTAAGGTTACAATTTCATACTCCTTTTAAGTCCAATTTTTCACTTAGTAACATGCCCAAATGATAAGATTTGAGTGTGAAATATAAATTCGAAATGCATTTAATTTTATCTTCATCATTAGATTTAATATCAAAATTTACAAAAACGTGTTTAATTTTATTTTATTTTAAGCGACAATATTCAAGCACTTGAAGATTCTTTTGTAAATTACAACATGATTTTTTTTTCTTTCTTTTTTTACATAAAATACCAAAATAGAAATAATAAAAAAAAGCAGTTGTAAACAACTGTAATTAATTTTTCTATTTACAAATTGCTAAGTTCAAAAAATCCTTTTTCTAATGTTTCTTATATTTTATTAAAAAAAAACGAAAATAACAATTGTTTGCTCTTTATCTCCTCAAAATAAGATTGTTAAAAATAATTTGAATGGCTGAAACACATTTAAAAATATTAAATGCATATCAAGAGTAATNAATGGATATCAAAAACAATAAAAAAAATTCATTTATGAAGTTCTTTTTAAATCCGTGAGAATAAGTATTATCCAGAAAAAGCATGTAACTTGTAAAAGCGAATTTAGAATCAAAAAATTAAATGCGATTAAAAATCGTCAATGTTGGCAAAAAAATTTAAATAGAAATAGTGAATGCCAATATTTGATCAAGATATTTCATTCAGTTGATGCATCCTGTTTTATTAAGCCCCTCGTTTTTAACAATAATCTGAATCTATTATTTTCAGCGTATGTTCAATACCAGCCATTTTGAATGTGTTACGTTATCAACTTATTTTTTCCCCTCTCTCTTTAGCAAGAGCTTGTAAAAATTAGGTTTTATATTTAATGAGCTAAAATTTTTTTTTTCATTTTCATAGGTTAAGTTTTTTTTTTGCTTTTTTACATAGTTGTAAGGAACTGGAAAAAAAACAAAAACTTCGTGCAAAGCTTCGTTTCCATCTGGAGACCACATTTTTCCAAAATTCATTATTTCATGAAATATTCTTTGTGAGAATAAACAATGTTGGAAACATTTTTTTTTTTTCTTCTTTTTTTTACATAAAGTACCAAAAGTGAAATAAATAACAGTAGTAGTGAACAACTGTCTAAATCAATTTTTTTTAAATCTTGAATTTAGTTTTGGACAAAAAAAAATTTACATTTACTGATTCTACACTTGTGTATTTAGTCGCTTTCTGTTTTAAAATGTTAGATTTCTAATTCAGAAAAATCTAATATTAACTTATTTTTTACGTTATATTTTTCCTTAAAATGTTCACGAGATGAATACTTTAAAAAGATAATTGACATAAAACAATGTAAACAAACGAGAACAAAAAACAATGTAAACAAACGAGAAGATAATCAATATAAAACAATGCTTCGCAGTACAAAATTCCATGAAGGAATAAACTTAAGGAAAGTAAGACTGTTCAACATACTTCAATGAAGCAAAATAGGGATCTTGTGTGAGTGAAATAAATTATGTTGATATCTGAAAATGGTGAATAATTAAATTTCTTTTGAGGGCATTTGTAAGGATTCTTCGGAACACTTTTGTTTAATACAAATAAATTCGCAGCTTATATATCTGATGCTAAATACTAGATGGAGGCAATTATAGAAAAAACTTATAAAACTGTTTCTAATTCTTTTGAGGGCATTTGTAGGGATTCTTCAAAACGCTTTTATTTAATACAAATAAATTCGCAGCTCATATATCTGATGCTAAACACTAAATGGAGACAATTATAGAAAAAACTTATAAAACTGTTTCTAATATTTCCTTTTCTTAAAAAAAACGGAAACCAATAGATGCCAAAAAAGTTCACTATTGAACGTGCTGAATCTAGGTCTTTTAAAAGAAAATCAATAAACTTTAATTTTTTTTTAAATCAAACAGTTTTTCATAGTAATTCGTAAGCTAAAAAACTTTAAAAAAATTTAAATGTAAAAATTTTTTATTACTACCACTGACTAAACTGCATGTAAAAATTAAGCTCCTTATCATACTGTTTGATGTTTTCCTCCTGATTGACACAATAAAGAATCGTTAAATTTATAAGTTAATCATAATATTAATTTTGAATTAAATGTAAGAAAAATAATTTACATAAATTTACTTACATTTTAATCACTCAAAGAATTAAATTTTGGTTTCTAAGAATATTTTTTTGTATAAACGGGAAATCAAATACCTAGTAAGCAAGAATATTTCCTAAAAAACTTATATTGCATTTTAAATCAGTCAGGTTTTTTACTAAACAATTAAAAAACGTTCATTTGATTAAAAAAAAAATTTTTTTTTGCTTAGAATTTTGACAAAGGTAAAAATGAAAATGAAAAAAAAATAGTTAATTTAAGTAATTAAAATGTAAGTACTTTATGGTTCAGCACCCTCATTAAAAAAAGTTTAATTTTACTATTTGGAGATTTTAAAATGGAAAAAAAAGACTCACCTGTTCCGGCGGCGGAGAGGGCGCAGCCTTGGCTCACGGTAAACCACAGAGGGATTTGGACGTCGCAGTCTGGCAGACACCGGACGTGCATCGTCCAACTGACCTTGAGACGGCGGTGCCGAGTACGAGAAATCGGATAACAGCATGGCAAGCTGGGTACTCCTAGGATTCCTAGGACGTCTGCGGGGAGGTGGTGTTGGAGTTCGAGGGACAGGTGCAGAAGATGAACTGCCGGCAGGTGAAGATGGAGAAGACGAAGGGCTGGGATTTGAGCCACGAACTGAATCTGGCTCGCTCACCTGCCTCACTTCATCTTGACCACTTCTCCCACCAGGTCCATCACTTACCGCACCATCGTCAACCCCGACTCCTCCCACACCCAGAGCCAGCTGGTTTCTCAAATACTCAACTTCCCGCTCTGCCCTTTCAGCTCGTTCAAGGGCAGCTGCCTCGTTACGACGAGAGGTGTTTAGCCTCTCGCGCAGGTCATCGAGAGATGCATGTCGTCCAGGAGAAAGACTCTCATCAAGCTCCCGTATGACGGAAAGGTCCACTCTGCAGGCATCACAAAGATTCCCCCTGTCTGCAAGAGGCAAAGACAACCTCTGCGGCGTCCGCAAGAGGGATGACCTTTGTCCACCGCCATGAGCGGGAGTGACGGAGCTTCTCTGCGACGAAATATCCCTCATGTGTACCGGGCCCCCTGAAGGGCCAGTTCCAGAAGAGCCAGCTCCCGAGGGGCCAGCCAATGAGGCGTAGAATGCCGCCTGAAAAAGAAACCAATCATAAATAACAATTACAGCATATCATATATTCTATTTTATTTTCATATCTAACTTATTGGAAATTCTCTCCTAAAACAATCTAAAACTACTTATTATTCTACATAAAGAATTGATCCAACATTTCTTTCACTTAAGATGAAAATAAGTCTTCGAAATGAATTTGAAGTATACATTAAAATTAAGATTAATATGGTTAAATAAAAAAAAAAGCGAAGTAATTTTGTATTTATAACGCATTATTTAATAAGCAATAGCACACACTTTTTTTATTGAGCTAAAAAATCTTAAATATTCAGAGCTAGAAAATTTCGTAAACTATTAACAATGTTTCAGTGGGTACCATTGAAATTTAACATTATAAAAATAGGTTATATTAAACCAGGCCCGGACTGGCCAATAGGCAGATCGGGCAAATACCCTGTGGGCAGGTTGGGCCGAGCCACCAGAGCGAAGAAAAAATTTATACATTGCATGAATTTCAAATAATATTGCGCAAATAATAATAATATTAAATAACATATACATGATATATGTAGTAATAATATTGTTTTAATATACAGTGTGATTCAGACCATGCGTGCCACCCATTTTTTCGAGAATGGAGCAAATAATCGATTTGAAATAAAAAATCTAATAACTAAATCGACAAATTGGAATTCAATAGTGATATTGTTAATTCCCGGAAGTACCGGAATTTGAACACAATTTTGATTTTTTAATTGGAAACCTATATCTTATTTGGCATCATTGGAGAGGGTTTTTGAAAAAAAGTAACTTTTACTTGAAATTTTTTTTTATATCTCTTACTGTTCTCAAGATAATAGATATGAAAAAATTCGGATTATATACTTCAATTCTTAATTTTTAAACAAAAATAATTAACTTGAATTATCAAAATCGCTTCAATTTTTATAAAACATGGGAAGTAAAGCACAAATGTGTTTTAATGAAGGTATTAGACATTATGACGAAAAAAGAATTTTTTTAGTGAATATGTCAAAATCTATTTAATATGTATTTTTCCTTATCTATTATCTTGGAAAATAGTAAGAGATATTAATAATNAGGGACATGAACATCACAAGTATTTAAATAGGGATCTCTAGTCTAAATCAAAATAAAGTTGGGAATGTGAATTCCTGAGTTGCTGACATTTTAAATTTTCTAAATATCTTTATCAAACATTCTTACCGAAATGATCTTAGAAATTTATGTAACTTTTTTAGCCTTTTGAATTTCCGTTCCTACATAACAAAAGAAGGCGTCAAATTTGATCAACACTCTGAGGAGCGGCTTTTAAATCAAAGTTCACTTTGGTCTTGAGTTTGGTGGCTGAGTAATGGATAAAAACAAGAAGCGCAAAGTAAAAAGAGGAGCAGAAAGATTGGAGAAGCAGAATCTTTTAGAAGTCCAAAAATGTGTTAAACTGATCTTTGCATGTCCGCAATCGCACTCCTCTACATCAAATGATGCAGTGGAGGAAACAGTGGCGGCAGTTGAAGAAGTTGCTAATATAGTTCATATCGAGATCAAGAACAACAGGAAAATGATCAGAAATTGAACAACAAGAAAATGATCAGAAATCAGAAATTGAGCAACAGGTGGATGATCAAAAATCAGAAATTGACCAAAAGCACATTAAGAGTAACGCCTCTGATCTGCTTGCTATAATCGAACTACAAACTGAGCAAGACAGCAATTTAATTCCCTTGTTTAATTATTTAGTACATACTGAAAAGAATCAACTCAATTTATTTTTTAAGTATCATCCGAAACAAGACGTCAGTGACCCTGTGTTGAAAAAGGCAATGTATCGGAAAGACGGTTCTAATAGGAAATGGCTGACATATAGCGACAAACAAAATGCTTTGTTTTGTTTAGTATGTTTAGTGTTTGCTTCACCTTGGGTTGGTTCATTTCCGTTTTTACGAGGCATGGAAGATAGAAGGCATGTTCATGACGTAGTCGATGAACATGAGCAAAGTGTTTCACACCATAATTCTGCTGAAGCATATTTTTTAAGAGATAAAGAAAATCTTGTTAATTTGCTGTTCTGCAATCAAATGTCTTTACATCGAGCACAAGTACGGAAAAGAAGAATCTTGCAACGAATAATATATATTATTAAATTTATTGGGAAACGAGGATTAAGTTACAGAGGCGATAAGCTAGAAGCTGCCTGCCTATACTCTGGAAGACATGTCCGTTGATCATGGAAACTTTTTGGAACTTGTTGTTCATCTTAGCAAATATGATATTATTTTAAAAGCCCATTTGAAAGATTGTATTGAGAGCAGTAAAGACCTTCACGAGTCACAAAAGAGTAAAAACGAAGGGTCTTTGTTAACGTTTCTTTCTAAATTCACCATTAATAAAATTATTCAATTAATTGCACAGCTTATAACACGGAATATTAATATGGAAGTACTAGCAGCTGGTTTGTTTTCTTTACAAGCAGATACAACACAGGATATTTCATGCAAAGATCAATGCTCAATTATAGTACGATATGTGAAAGACGATCGTGTATATGAAAGACTTCTCGTTGTTGTAGAGTGTAAATCTTCAACAGGATAGAATATGTTTTCTTTAGTGGATTAAGTTTTAAAGTCTTGTAATATAGATATAACAAAGTGCATCGGTAATTCAACTGACGGGGCTGCAAATATGCAAGGTGAATATAAAGAATTTTCTTCATGGCTTTCAAAAGAGTCCCCTGGTCAAATTCATGCTTGGTGTTATGCACATGTCTTAAATTTAGTTTTAGGAAATACCACGAAGGCACTAATTGAAAGTACATCGTTTCTCAGCCTACTAAATTGCGCCGCAGTATTTTTCTGTTAATCATACCAACGTATGAACAGCTAGGAACAAAGTAACAATCACGGAAATAAAAAAAAAGGCTTGCAACTATTAGAGAAACTTGTTGGTGGTCCAAAGATTCTGCATTAAAGAAAATGTTTGGTTCATTTTCAAACTGAGATTCAACTATAAAGCCGTTATATGTCACATTGATTACAAGTTTATAAACTATACAACAAAATTTAAATTTCAAGCCAGATATCCTTGCAAAGGCAAAAATATTTTTAGAATCATTTTGCAAATATGAAACAGTAATCACCGCCAAAATATTCTCAAGAATATTTTAATTAACTACACCGCTCTCCCAATATTTGCAAACCTCCGGTTTAGAAATCTTAAAAGCTTTTGGAATGGTATCACAAACGTATTCAGAACTAAAAAAATTTTGAGAGATTTTGAAGGTGTACAAAAAGTTACACATGATTTTATTATTCGCGCAAATAAGGAATTTGAAGAAACTGAAGTTTCCACAAAAAAGATTGAAGAAAAGAAAATTGATGCCGGGTGAGACAGCGTCGAATGAAACAGTTTTTGATGAGGAAACCACTGTATTTAAGATAAACGTCCATAACATTATTTTCAGTACAGTTGTAGCGTCAATGGAACGCCGGTTTCCCGAAAATGGTCCAATCTAGTTCCGAAACATTTCCCTGAAATACGTTTTAACAAGCTTCAATCTGGCGAACTAAATGAGTTAAGCAAACTCTTGCTAAAATTTGACGAAGCAGCTATAGGTGAAAATTTGCGGATTGAACTAAGAAATTTAGCTTCACATTGGGAAAAACTGAAAAATTCAGACTTAGAAGATTATAAAATAATCAGAGAAGATCATTCAAATGAAGATGATAACGACTTTACTTTGGAAACAGAAGAAGTAAGTCTAAAATGTGAGACACGCAGTGCGTGCAAAAATTGTGTTATTTGTTGCTACAAGATATTACAGAGATTCAATTTATTGACCAATTCTTATAATTTAATTGGTCTAGCATCAAAATTTTTACTAACATTGTCAATAAGTCAGGTGGCTTGTAAAAGATCATTCTCCCCATTTAAAGTAATTAAAAATCAAATGAGGAGTACTTTTTCTTCGGATAATTTGAATGCTCTCATGGTAATGGCAATAGAAAAAGATCGATTAATGACATTAGATAGCGACGACATAATAAATAAATTGGAAAAAAATAGTGAACTTCTTCAAAAGTCATTAAATTAAATTTTAATTTAATGACTTTCGAAGAAGCATTAAATCTATTTTTGAAAAAAAATTTATATAAATCATTCATGTATGTGTAGTATAATAAATATTTTTATTTACTCTTCATCTTTCACCTTCTTTTTGATTTTATCAATCTATGTTTCCTCATAAGAACCATGTATTTTAAACTGAAATATATTCTATGAAGGATTATTAAGCAATTTTTGTCTACTTTCTTACTTCGATAAATGAACTTACGTTCATGAGAATTTATAAGTAAAAAATGCCTAAAAGTGATACATTAGGAGCCGCGTACACTTCGCGCACGCGGTGTTTATGTGAAGTAGAGGGTCAATATCTGTAAATTCCGCGGGCTTATTTTAGATCCCAGTCCAAGCCTGTATTAAACCCCCATTTTTATTAAACGATATTAGGGAGCAATTTTTTATACGCATAGTTTTTGACCATCTGACATAGTTGGATTTAATTACGAAAATTCAAACGAAAGCAAGAACGCATTGGCTCTCACAGCAAAGTGATTGTAAGTGAACGGCAGATGGACACGTGTGACGTCATGTCGTGAATAATCACGTGACTCCCAGTTTCAAGTGAAAGCGAAAGTAAGCGTTTCTTATAATTTAAAATAACTATATAAATAGCCTTCTTAAGAGAGTAATAAACTGTTTTCTGGGAGTTTTGAGATATTCTGAATGCATTAAAATTTTTAAAAAAATTGACTGTAATTGTCCATTGTCCTAGAGATAAAGTTCTAAAAAAAAACTTACTGCTTGTGGTCTCCGCTCCGCTGTGATGCGCTGGACACAGGCGCGGTCTATTGTTGCTGTTTGTGCAGCCACCAACTGCACATCTACATTGGAATCCGAAGAGGATTCAGAACTGGGGGGCAGACCTCTGAAAAGAAATTACATTCTATTAAAATACATGGTCAGGATTGTGACAATTCAATTATTAATAACATAAAAAAAATTCATGCGCAACAATGCTGAATTATGAGCTTGGTAAAATTAAACGAACCCTCAGTAATTGTGAAAATTTTAAGGTTATAGCATGCAGAGTCTCTATTTATACGAAATTTTCAAAATCTTCCAATAGGAAGGTTACTTCTAAGTTCAATTAAAATATATTAAATTAAAACTTGAAATTAAAATATAAAAATGCTCAGAAAATATAAACTTTGAAGTTTATAATAATTTTGGAATATACCATGCGAATCGGCATTAAAAACATAAAAGTTAATGTTTGCTAAAAAGATTTTTAAGAGTTTCAATGTTTCCAACATTAATAATAAATCAGATATTATATTAATAATAAATCAGATATTATATTAATANGTGTGTATGATGTGTGAATGTGGCCCACCCTATAAACGGGATGTGGCAGTGTGGCGTGGGCAATGTTGCTCGCCTCCGTGACTTTGGTTCACAGGTGCCCACTGGGTAACGCGAAATGAGCGACAATTCTGGCATAGTATAGTCAAGAATTCAAAATTCAGTGCCTGCCATTGGAAAAAAAAATTCGAGTAGTAAGTAAAACGAAAAATAAATGCTTGTGTATGCACAGCATTTATTTTTCGCTTTGTTTTTTAAATAAACAAAAAATTATGGACATACAATTATATTTTGTAGTTTAAACTTATTTTCGCTCACTAACTTTAAGATAGTTGCACTTTTCAAATGTTCCATAAATTTGTCTAAAAAGTTGTTTCTATTATTTCTCAATTTAAGCAAAATTCAAAAAAATATTTTTATATCTGAAAAATGCTCGATTTGTCTTATTTTGTTAAACAGAAAATACAAAAAATGAGAAAATATTAAAAGATTCCAAAACCATGCTATTTTTAGAATCATCATCTCAAAAAATTATTCTTTTTCCAACTTTAGAATTTCCTTAATGATACAATATGATATATTAAGAATATTAAAATAATGTATTAAAAATAGAAATTGTTTTTTTATTTCACCGTAAAAAGATAAACATGTTAACGTTTTTTTTAGGCTCAATTGAAACGTGACAATGATTTAATTAACCCCATAATTGAAATCTGTTGGAACCTTACATTTAATTGCTTGAAACAGTTAGAAACAATTAAATTTATTAAATTATTGGAAATTAAACTTATTTTATTATTTTGTTGAGAGCTGCAGGAAAAACGAGGAAAAATAGCCTGGTTTACTTTACTATTCATACATTTAATATAACTTGAGTTGTTTAAGCAAAAAAATAAAATAAAGGGTAAAATATAAATTCTACTGAAATATGTCCTTAAGCATGCACTAAAACATTTGTACGATAGATTTAAGAATCGATGAATAAAAATATATGTTTTCCAAAAACTTCGAATTAGCGGGAAGACGATAACTTGTTCGAAATAATTGATTTGTAACTACTTAACTTAGATTCCAGGGGAGAGGGATCATTCCATTAATTCATTAGACTTTTTAAATTTTACTTGTAGACGGAATTGTTTAACATCCTAAAAAATGNTGTATTCGATAGAATGAAATGATTTTTAAAAAATGAATTATACAATATTCTTAAACATAAATTTTTCAATCTTTTTAAAATGTCACGTGACATTCACTAATTCCTTCAATTAAAAAAAAAAAGAAATATTGCCGTATAAAGAAATAAAAGAAATATCGAAAAAAAGAAACAAAAGAAATATATAGAAGAACTTCTGAATATGCATTATAATTTTTTTCCAGATATTTTAAAATTTTTACGGAATTTTTTCGTGAATCGCCCTGTAACCCTGAATTTAATTAAAAGAATTAAAATCTGGTTTTGGTACAAAATCTTCATGTTTAAAGAAGTTAAAAACAACTTAAATAAAAATGTCTCAAAAAAAGTTTTTGTGCTTATACAGAATAAGATCAGTAAAATTATAAATAATTTATAAATCGATTCAAATTTTATTTTTGAAGAAAATATAAACAAAAGCAATCTTTGGTTTTGGGCAACTAAAAAAGAATTGTTGCCAAGAAACTTTAAGATATTTTCAAATTAACAATTTTTTTTTTTTTTTTTTTTTTTTTTTTAAAAAGTTTTTCTGAGCGGAGCTAACACAAAAACGAAGAATGACTTCAGTTTTCATTTCATTCTTTTTTATCCTCAAAGCTTGGTTGCTTCGCAACGTACTATTTATCTCCTGTCATTACTTCCTAGAACTCTAAATTTCGATAAACTTTTTCCAAAAAAAAGTCGACATGTTTTGNTTTTCCAAAAAAAAAAAAAAAACTAACAACTCAGAATAATTTTTGATCTATTGATTGGATTTTTACGTTCTGGGACTCATTCTTAATAGGTCGAAGAAGGGACCTCGAACATGCTAATTAATTAGCGTAGACAATATTTAAAATTACGAAAATCAGTCACAAAAACAAAATTCCTCTAAATAAACATATCTTCCTTTCGATGAATTTGAATTCCCAAAATCTAGGGCAATCAGAGAGATATGTTTCCCATAGTTTCGTCAGGAGAGCGATATAAAGTTTGGACCCCTTAATGTTAATTTAATGTTAATGATAGTATTATCTCGAAAACTTTTGAAGTGAATTGAGAAATCTTTGTACATGAAACTGATTTATCTAAAAAATAAATTTTGGTAAATATATATTATTTTAAATAATTGTCGAAAAAGTTTTGAATTTTAATTTTTTACATAGTTTTGAAATGTGTAATTTACTATGACAACACGCAAAATTTGTTCCTTAGTTGAGTGCATGAAAGTTGATGATGAAAGTAAAAGAAGTGCCAAACCTTAGCACGGCCATCATCGGAGTAATAACTCTGGGAGAGAACCGATTTTCCACGTTGTGTTAAAATTTATCAATCCTTGAAATGTAACAGATGGCGTTCCAAGCGTTATTTTTGTAAAAAAAAAAAAATGAGTATAGATCATTCTTCTCACTTCATAAAGGATAATTAAAAGTTTTCTTTCAAACCGCTTTTTGCAGAAGAATACTTTTGCCTGAGTTGTAATAGAAACAAAACTGGTGAGAACTACACATTTTTTTGAATTGTAGTTTCATGTTTTATTTTATAACCGTAGTTGAACAGCCAACCCAATGTTGAGTTTACGGCTACCAATGTCCGCAGCATCATAATTTTGAACCGAATGCAAAAGCAAAGGATAAGAAAATCACGGTTTGTCTGAGACTCTAACCCATGATTCGTCAACTACTTTTTCGTCAGTACTGTGTTAGGTACGGGTGTAGTTCCATATTGTAATTTTTCCCAGATTAAATCCCAATTTATTGTGTTTAACTTGATTGCATTTAAGGACCGAGTAACAGAAAAAACGATAATTTGGGACCCCCTTTTTAAACTCAGTGTGTGCTTCTTATTTTATTTTATGATAAGTTTTTGGTTTATTTAAATCCGCATTTTTATTACTAAAATTAAATATGATTTAATAATTGAAGTTGATAATTAAGTTGTTAAGAATAGTATACAGAAAACGAAATGAAAAAAAAATAATGCCATTTATAAGGCAATTAGTATTCCACATTTTTTGAACACTTTTAAAATATGCACAGAGTTTATTTATAAAAATTTGAGCAAAAATATGAACTTCCTATTAATAAGTTTCCGTTTCGGATTTGGAAGAATAATATATACAATATTCTTTTAAAAGATTATACACAGAAAAATGTAAAAAAAAAATTTAACTTATGATTATTACCACTTTATTCTTTCATACATTCATTAAATTTAAAAATATTAAATGTTGAAAAATATTTTTAACGTTGTGCCTTAATTTTCACGATTTTAAGTACTTTTAGGTCCCTTAAATTGAGAATCCTAGTCATCCTTTGTGGTAATCAATNATTATATTTCGAGTTTCCAAGCATATGCATTTGCGTCAATAATGTGCCCAAGATAGAACACATCTACAACGTATCAGGAGGGGACAGAAATTGGCAAACTAACTATTTGTGTGCCACAATCTGTGCATCTACGCATATTATTCAAGTATCTAGAGATACTTGTACTTAGATTTTATGGTTTGTATTACCGTTGAAATGGATTGATCCTTTCAATTAAGATCTTTATTTCATTTTGGCTAATATGTAATACTGTTGTATTAGGTATGAGTTGACTGGTTAGCTTTGCAAACAACACTGTATAACAAATCAACTTTTTTTGTATAACACCAGTGTTAAATTGATTTTGCCTTTTGCTTCGCTCTAAAGATTTTGTACTACACATCTATCCCATACAAAGCACTTCTGCCATGTGATACGGTAAAGTATTTCCAATTGAATTACTTTTTTATATTTTGATTGACAAAAGATGAAATAATTCAACCATATATTTCTTTTTAAATTCTTAACTTGGCCTATCACTATAGAAGATTTCTGTTAGTTCATCTTCTGAAGTAGAATCATTTAAAAAAAAACCTTCACAAACAGTCTTAAAATAAAACTGTGGGCACTATTTTTACTTTTGTCTTTTGTATCGGAGAATATTTTAAATGAAAAACAAGTATTGTCTAAAGAAACAGCTGCTGTGAATAACGGAACAGAGGCTAGATAGCATAAGGCTGAAACTCTACATACTGTACATATTCTACTAGTACTACAAAATCGACCTATTTATTATATTAAACCCTGCGTCCATATTTTAAATTTTGCACATTAAAGTGCAGAAAAATATCTGTGCCTTAGAATTTAAAATTATTATACTATTAAATCTCATAATAAGCATTAAAAATTACGTGGATTTTTGGTTAAATTAGTTTTATAATTTTGTTCACTCAAAACTTTACATTCACTTAGCCGTGGCTCATGAAAGTTCTAAAAAATAAGACCAGATAAAGTTCTAAAAAAAAACTTACTGCTTGTGGTCTCCGCTCCGCTGTGATGCGCTGGACACACGCACGGTCTATTGCCGCAGTTTGTGCAGCCAACAGCTGAACATCAACGTTGGAATCTGAGGAGGACTCGGAGCTTGGTGGTTGGCCTCTGAAAAGAAATTACATTCTGTTTAAATACATGGTCAGGATTGTGATAATTCAATTATTAATAACATTAAAAAAACTCATGCGTAATCATGCTGGATTATGAACTTGGTAAAATTAA